ATTGCCTTTTTTATATTAGTGGTGATGATCATATGAGAAATGAGTTTTTCAAGAAGAATTTACCCTGTCTAGATTAAGAAAAAAAAACAAACACCCAGATCACAACATTTGTTTATTTTAGATGCGAATTGGGAAAGACTAGTGAAATTTCTACTGCTGGAATTTTTTGCCAGTGGAAGACTTGATATCAATTTTAGTTTATGTCAAAAAGCCACTAATATTGAATTTCATTATATGGTCTAAGTTTTTCAGAAAAATTAATAGGAAGTACTGGATTATTCTGGATTCTAAGTTACTTATTTACACACAACATAATTTTGGAGGAGCTATACTATTTCCACTGAATTTATTCTGAATTTTATTATTCTCTGAGGCAATTTACATGATGGTCTTTTACCTTACTAGGTGGGAAGATATTGTTGAGGGCAGAAATTCTTTCTATGGGCAGGTTTGGCCTGAAACTGACTGAACAACTGCGCTTTAGTGATATAGCACAAGGAAAGAGAATTTTTCCTGACAGTGACTCAAATGCAATTAATTGTGGTTCGTTCAAAGTTGTGCAGATTTTCTTCAGCCTGTATGGAGTTTAATATTGTGTTCTGCAATACAGAATAAGTTTGATATCACAGATTCACAGAGTAGTTGAGGTTGGAAGGCATCATTGAAGATCATCTAGTCTAACACTCCACTGAAGAAGGGTCAGCTAGAACAGGTTGCACAGGATTTTCTTCATTCAGGTTTTGAGTATTTCCACAGATGGAGACTCCACAACTTCTCTGGGCAACCTGTGCCAGTGTTTTATCACTTTCACAATTAAAAAAGTATTTTCTTACATCTTTCACTGGACTCCAGTAAGTCCCCATCTTTCTTGTACTGGGGAACCCAGGGTTAAACACAAACCTGAATTATGTTATACATTAAAATACGGTATGTGGATGTGGAAGCTGGTTCCATTCCTCTGAACAGGAGTGAGTTACATAGCACAAAATGTTACTTCGGGCTGAAAATATAGGAGTAGAGAGGTCTTCAGATATCAGATCATCAACTTATAGCAGTGAGGTTTGCAGCAAGAAGGTAGGTAGTAAATATCTAGCTACCTTGGTGGCAAAAGTCACTGCAACCAGAATCATAGAATTGATCCAGGGAAAATCTGTGTGGATCCTACTCTGGAAATTGCAAGGCAAGACTGGGAAACTAAAGACAGATATGGCACTCTATATTAAAATATTAAATTTTATTAAAGCTATATTAAAATCATAGCATGCTACTTTTAGGATCAGGAGTTTTGATGATGTCATTCTGAAGAATATTGCTGCAATTTTCATGAATGCTACCACAAAGAAACTATTTGAGTAATATTTGTGTAGGAAGTGTTTCAGAATGTATTGATGAGTCTGAGGGGTTATCCATATAACATACCTTATTACAACATTCATAACTGATACTGATATTTCTATCCCAAGTGCTGGATCATGTTAGAGAAGTACAGCACTGCATACTATGGTGTAACAATTTAAGTTGTCAATTCTTTTGGAATAATAAGTATACTCATACAGAACTGACTTCTTGAAAGGCTTCAAGTTCAACACACCCTACTATTGTAAAATCTCCCTATCTCAAACAGAATGCAATTAAGCAGACAAAGAAAAGGCTGGTAGGGGAATTATGACTAACCAAGATCAGAGGCACAACCACAATCAGTCCAGTTTTTTATCACCTGTTTCAGATCATTAGCCACAGAATAGTACCATCTCTTGCTGACCATAAACAACAGGTGAACAGGCTACATTATCTAATGGCTTAATAGAATTGAAAGTTTTCTAATCTTATCTGAGAAACTGAAAAGCAACAATGCTGAATGCAGGCTGGATTTTAAAAAACCTATGAATGAAAAAGGTTGAGTGACACCATCTGCCTTCTCTATTATATTTATTTATCATATGTTATCTTACTACAAATAAAAAAGCTTTGATCCTCTGTTTTACACTATTGAAAAATCCCTCTGTGTCCTTTTCTCTTTCAGTAACACCTGCCTGATTTTGGATGTCACAGGCAAGGACTTTGCCGATGGAGTGATTAAATGATGTGCAGTCTGTCCTTAGCAGTGAAGGTGATAATTACACAGAGAACAGCAACTAAGGAGTAAGAATGTTCCCCTGGAAGAGGTGTCAGAATAAAAACATCAGATGTGTGCTGCTCTCAATAGCACTGAGCCTGTCTTCATTACTGCCCCATCACTCTTCTGAAATTGATCCCATTTCATCCACTTTAATGAAGTTTAACAAAAAATGTCGCTGAAGAATTTCAATGTCGTCTTCTCTCTCAGTAGCTGACTTTCTCCAGAGCAATAAAAATAGCACCTTTTGTTCAACAAAGTATGCAAAGTGAAACAGCTATCAAAAGTTAAGTTCTAGAGTTTTCTTTTATTAAATAAAATGCTTACTTTTTTTTTTTTTTTTTTTTAAATGCATCCTCTTTCACAAGGCAAACCTTTTTATTCCACTTTGTAATTCTAGGAATATATCTCATGCTGTATAATATGAAATAACATTTACGTCCTAGTCACATGCTTAATTGAGTATGGCCTGTTTTATCTTTTCCTATGTCAATTATCTTTGTTCTATGAGAATTAACATTATTTGCATGTCAAAAATGAAAAGCTAAGTTACTCTGAAACGAACTGTCTATTCTTTTATTTAGTTTTGAGCCCTCTATTTCAGAATTTAAGAAATTAAATGCAAGAAAATCTCACAGGAACTTCCTTAGAAGACTGGGAATTTTCAAGGAGTGTATGTTAAGTCAGAAAAGGGACATAGCTCCAAACGTTTGACCCAGTTTTCTCAAATAATGTTTTCTTTAATGTCATCTGCCTGATATCTCCCTACTGACAAACTTAGTGTGGAAATTTCTTTCAGATAGAAATGCAATATCTGCATGAACCACAGTCCAGTCTGCAGGGCAGAATACTAGAAATTGTTTAATGCAATGCAAATGCAACACTTCTTGAAACAAAATCACTTTAGTGGTTCCCAGTGATTTTTCAATCTATCTGCTGCAGTACAATATGGTGGACAAATAACAATATCCAATGCATCTGACAAAACATATGTCAATACTAGCTATCTCTTCCCCACCCCTCATACAAAATGAATGCTATTATAAATACTTCCTATCATTTGGTGTAATTGTAGTAGATCTCATATTTGAGTCACTTAAATCTAAAAATGGATGTGGAAATGTTAAAACTGGTGAAATAGTGTGGCCAGCAGAAATAGTATGGCCAGCAGGAGCAGGGAGGTGATTGTGCTCCTGTACTTGGCAGTGGTGAAGCCACACCTCGAGAACTGTGTTCAGTTTTGGTTGGACTAGATGATCGTAATGATCTTTTCCAACCAAAATCTTCTATGATTCTATGAAATATCTTTATTAGTTATCCAGTAAAACTAACAATACATTACTTCTCTGGCAAGAGGCTTATTATGTCCACATATTTTTATACCATAAACGAGAAAACTGAGAAATAGGAATTAATGTGCAATTTCTAAACTCATAAACACTTATTAATGAACTGAAGAACCCTATAAACATTTGAAGCAAGGTAATTTCTCATGCTATATTTCCTTCTTTAATTTTGTTTAGCCACACCAATAGTATATTTTACAGAGGAAAAAAGAAAGAAGAAAAAAATCTTGCCAGTTTCCAATAGTTCTTTCTTTTTTTTTCTTTTCCCTTTACTGTACTTAAAAACCTAGAAATAGGATAGGTACTTTATAAAGAGATAAGCTACAAGTGTTCTTTTGAAAAGTATAAGCAAACAACTTTGCCAGTAGGTTTAAATAGTTAAGACAACAAGGGTACATTTATCCTAGAAAATCTTGTTTTATGTACAATCTGGCTTGTAAGAGAAATTTTCAAAACCAAACAGTCTCATGCTAATTCTTTATTACCTATGTTGTACTGTAGAGTAAAAGAAAAAAAAAAAAAAAAAAAAAAAAAAAAAAGAGAGAGAGGAGAAAAATAAAGGCCTCTTGTTCAAACTAAATCTGATTCATCCATTAGACATTCATCTTATAAAAAATTTATAATCAGTTCTGTCTGGGGATATTGAAGTTTGCTCTCTCCTAGTGATATTTGATAAGAGCTATTGTACCATTTCAACATTATCTCCAAGGATCAGACTGGGATAGCTGTATTTGCACAAATACAATTTAAGCATCTACAGATCATTTTACATCAGAAATCCACCACAGAATTGATATAGAACAGAGCAAATGAGCCTGAGTAAACACAGAAATATAAATAAAGCATGATTTACCCTCCCTGGCATTACTGAATATTTGCTTTACTGTCTGGAAAAATGTGGTGTATATTTCTACCCTTCCACTGTAAAGTTGTGCCCATTGGGTTTTGCAATAATGACAACTACCTCTGAAAGAAAACCTGTTGGATTATTTCATAATACTAAAATCACTATTTATGACAAAGAAACAGTGCATAAGTCTTACAGCCTCAGTAACAGCCATGATTAACACAGTGCAGTTAAGTGCATTTCCCTGGCCAGGTTAAATTTTTAGTCCCATCACTAACAGGAAATCACGGTTTAGACATGCAATGGCTAAACCAAATGTCAGCTAAGCTGTGATAGAAGCTCTCTCTACATGTGCTCTTCCTGAGAAGTACACAGAGGAGAACTTGAGTTAGTTTGACACTCTGACTCTCTGGATTTAAATTAAATTTGTTGAGAACAGTTCCATGGTACAAGTTTCTGGTTTTGGTCATTTAGTCTGTTATTTCAGCAGACAAAAAATGAAGCAATAGGCACACAAATGTGTTTTTGTTTTGATTGCAAAACTCAGCAATGCTAAGATTTGTTATTACATAATTTCCTCAAATTTCATCCTGGATTTGGGCTCAAACTTTTTCAGATGAAACTGATAATCTTCACTACATGTTGGGTGCTTCCAATTTTAGTATATCTGCTGCTGAAGTGAGCACATATAATAAAATTGGAATGCTTCACGAATTTGCATGTCATCATTGTGCAGGGGTCATGCTAATCTTCTCTGTATTGTTCCAATTTTAGTATATGTGCTCGCTTTGGTAGTACATATACTAAAATTGGAAACAAGACACAGCCACTCTCAGCCTTCACCCCTTCCCCCCGACCCTCCCTTCCCCCCCACCCTGGGAAGCAGGAAGAGAATTGGAAGGGAAAAGGTGAGGGGACTTGTAGGTTGAGATAAGAACAATTTACTAATTAGAGTAAAAATAAAATTAAAACAATAAGACTAATAAGAGTAATAATGATAAGTGATGCACAGTACAGTTGCTCACCACTCGCTGATAACAATCATAGAGGAGTGAAAAGGAACCTCAAAACCGAAATTACAATTCCAGAAAAGGGAGCCCAAGCGATTCCTGAGAAAATCCCCCCCTGTTTCTGGTCAGCCCCAGTTAATATACTCAACATGACATAATATGATATGGAATATCTTATTGGCATATCCAACTGTCAGTTCTGGGCCTTACTAAGTACTACACTTTTCTTCTCCACTCCCCACTTCCAGTCCTCTCTTCTTGGAAACTGCCCAAGCACAGTGTCCTTGTAGTTATCTATATTGTTCTCATAACAATCCCTACTGAAACCAAAACACAGCACTTTCTAGCTACTAAGAAGAAAATTAACCCTATCCTAGGAAAAAAAAGGACACTGGTTTAGCTTTACAAATACGATAACTGTAACAACAATTGGAACAATAAATTATGTAAATGAAATTGATGGATGGATGATGACCTGCAAAGATCCAATCCAATGTAGTTTTGTTATTAGTGAAATTTCTATGTCATTTGTCTGGATTATCCATCTGTCCTCCCTACTACAGAGGTTTTAACTTTACTGAGAATCTAAAAAATCTTAGCATTCAAATTTTAATTTTATGTTTAATTTTATGTTTTTTAATTTATTTCTTTAGAATCAAAGATCTTCTGTCCTGATAATTCCTTTAAGTACTTTCAATTATTCTGAATATTCTTCATTTACCTTTTTTGGAGTAATTCTTTCTGAAGTCTTTAACCAATCCACAAAGTAAAAGACATTATTCTTTATCAAGGCAAATGGTAAAAGCTTTAGAATATCTCAGGCTTTGCATATTGGTCATGCCAGAGTTATATTGGTCTTTTTGATGTATCCTTTTCTAAATCCAAATGAGGAGTTACAGGGTCCACTTCCAATTCTGACTCTAATACAAGAAATTTAATAGTCTGAAGCAATATTCCATAAAGCCACAGCACATCTATATTTAGGTAAAGAAATTTCTAGCTGCTATGAAACCCTCTCTACTTCATAGGACAACTCACATTTCTATGCAGTGTTATTCTCTTTTCCAACATCCTCTGAGGGCTGTGCTGGAAAGCAACAGGAGGAGCAAAAACCATTATGAGAGAAACCCTCCCCTGAATTGGGTTGACACCATCTAAAGCAGACAGCAAGCAGGCAGTCCCATACCATTAGGTGACAGCCTCAGCTTTCTCTTATTCCTGACCTATAGGCAGCAGGATAAGCTGAAGCAACCCAATCCATAAATATATATTTTGAAAATGAAACAGTAAGGAGTGTCTCACATAAATAGGACAGAATCAATCCTTCTCAATGCTATTCCTGTTTTCCAATATGATTTATATCCCCTTTTTAAGTTTTAGAAAACTCTTCTTTATGAAAAGTATTTGTCAGACACAGCTGTCCTAGGTCGCCTCTAAATGGCTTCTGCCTTTTCAGAGAGAGAGTCTTTACTGGGGTCTTAGCCCAAGACACATTTAAATTGTCTTCATGACCGGGGATATTTTGGGACACACAGCTGAAAATAAACAAAATAACCCTTGCTATTTCCCAATGTTTTCCACGTGCCAAGCTACTGCTCCAGGATTCTACAGGTGTTTATTCAGTAGAAATCTGCAGATATCTTTCAGGATGAAAAAGAGCAAACTCAGGAGGACAGAACTGAATTTTTAAGTGACCTGGTGAGTTTACAGCAGTGGACACTGTAAGTTACTGAGTAAAATCTGTACCAAAAAACCCCATTTAAAGTCCAATACCAAGTATAGAAGCAATGTATTATCTTTCATTTTAAAAATGTGGGGTTTTTTTAATCTGAATGAAATAGTGTTATTTTCCTCCTTAATAATCACTTGTCACACAGACGATGACAAAGAAAAACATTAAAGAAATTTCATATCAGAAAACTTGATTTACTTCAGTCTGAACAGGTCTGTCATCTTCAATGTTTTTTCTATTTTTTGAACTAGTTGACTGAGAGACAAAGATATTTTAGCAGTTAGCTAAAAGAAAAACAAAGCAATCCTACCCTAGTTTAAGGATTTACGCACAAAAACCCCAGCAATAAAGAAGCTGAAAACCAAATTTAATTATCACTGGGCAGAATTTCATTATTTTCGTTCAGGTTTATGTTCTTGTCTGAGTTTAAAATTTATACTTACATTTAGAGGAAAGAAAATACTGGTATTTTCTAATTTTCTGCACGAAAGCAGTTTTGGACATTTTGAACTGTTTTTGGCTGTAACATTTGCTTCTATAAGAAGACAATTTTATTGGCCCACCATCCCCCTTTCAAAATTAAACTTCCACTGAAAATCCATGTTACTTAAACAATCTTGAAATTGGGCTCTTGACTCTAATATCTTCATAATTTTAAGAACCAGAGGACTGTGTCAGAATTAAAGGCCCTATTTGACCTCTTTCTTAATAGGAGTTTATAAATTTATGTCTATAAGAAATATTTCACTGAACTACTTTAATTAAAAAAGGCCAATAAATAGAGCAAATTCCTGAGTAAGTTAGCAAGAAGACAAGCAATGGCAGTGCAGTTTCCATTTTAGTCTATGTTTTTGCATACATAAAATCTTGAAATTGCTAATAATATCAAGGAATGGGCTCAAATGGGTTAGGACATTTTGTAAAAAAAATAACGTGCCACATCGTTTTAGTCCTTTGTTAAAATGTTGAGATCACTACAAAACACCCTTCTGTGGGATGTTCATGCCCCTTTGCATCTATATAAGAAGCAAACAAACAAGAATTTCACTAAGAGGAGAGTACAATGTCAGTGTGATAAAGCAGAACAGCAAGGAGTCTGTGCAAACAATACATGAAAAATTACCCTTAAGGTCCCACACTGGTGTTCAGAAATTGCTTAGATCCAGAAATGTGCCAAGGTCTGCTTCACTGACCTATTTTGGACTGAGGAAACAACCAACCCTGAGTTAAGACAGGCCTGTAAGACACTGCAGTTCCTTCCACAAACATGTTTCCATGTTTATTTTATTTTGTACAGCTCAGGTGTACTCCAACTTGAGCCTTACAGCTAGAAACATCTAGGGGTGCATTTTTCATACACAGTCTACCCCAGGTTCCATTTTTTATTGCTGTAACTTGTTTACAGAGACCTGGATCTGTCTCACAGATGCTGTTCAAGACAGTGTTTCTATCTGTAGACCATTTCTCAATCCTTTTAATCTGTGACAAATTAAAGTAACATAAGATTTCAGTCTATTAGGGTTATCTTTCTCCAGAAAATAAAAATGAATACACTTTATTGTTTTTCTTTTTTTAGCATTCATTGGATTATAAAATAAGTATGTTCAAAAACAGTGAAAGAGATTAACATAACACTGGGAAATTTGCCAGTTTCATTTTATTGTTTGCATTACAGTAGCACTTAAGAGCTTTATTGGCAATACCTGTACTAGTAAATTAATCTGCACAGGGTTATGGGAACAGGCAATGCCACACAGTCATTGCTACTATTACCTTGTTAATGTGGTTGTCACCTGGAGCAACTAGCATTTGCGCAGACAATTCATGGATGCAGTGAAGTTCAGGGGTCAACATGGACCAGGTTAATCCCAAAAGGGAGTCTAAAGGCACTCTCTTTTGAAGGGTAAGAGGTTTAGCCATATGGATGTGAGCTGTGCCCTGACACTTGTTCTCAGAGCTAGAGAGTGGTCCCTGGTTAGCTTCCTTTAATAATATAAATGTAGTTGTTACAGACTTATACCTTGGTGCAGCTGAAATAAATTGTACCTATCTCAAGAAGCTAAAGGTTCCAATATAAAAGGAGAGCAATAAAAGGACTCTCAGAAAACATACTTGGAATTCATGTCAACACAGCAGGATCCTGCTGCCTCCTGTTGTCTGGACCTGGTAGAGATTAATGACAATACTAATGCTAATAGTAGGCTATTAGCTTCAATAGTTATCCTTATATCCTCTGATTCAAGATTCACTTTCCACAATTGATCTAACTGGGAGTATTGTTACATAGCATTTGTTCCACATTATGTATTTCCTTTTCTTTTTTTGACTTTTGCACTATGAAGGATAGGCGTGGTGCAGACAAGCAAAAACAAAACCCAAAAAGCAACCCACAATAAAGAAACAGGATGTGATGTAACAAAAGCTTGTTCTAAAGAAAGAAGAAAGAAGATGAAGAAAAAGCAAAGGAGAATTGACAAGAGAAGGCACTGGACTAGAAGCCATATAACATAGAATTGCATTTGAGGAAAGGAAAAAAAAATCTCTTAATATCCTGGTTTTTACAAGGGGTTTATAACCCTTTGATTTTCCTTACTGGAGACTGTAGAGCAGCAAAGAATCTCTGTGAACAGATCTCTACTCCTATGGAAGTCCTTCTGTCAAAAGATTCTTGTCCTGTTGAATGTTTCCTTTATTGGAGAAAGAAAATGGCATGAGGACTTAAATCTGCCAAGGTGATTGTGTAACACTTCCAGAGAAAAGCACACAGGATGGTCTATAAAAAGAGATATTGAAGATTTATAGAAGCTATACTTCAGCATTTGCTGAAAAAAAAAGTCTGTTTTAAAAATACAGACAGTATGAATTCCCTCGTTAGCCTTGTTATTTATGATGTCTGGACTACAAGTTTGTTTTACTATGATTTCTGTTTATGGTAAACCTCTAAATCCCCTAAGTAACAAAGATTCCGTCATGCCCTTCCATGGGGATATGAAGTTTCTTGGGGAAATGTAAAAAAAAAATTAAAAAAATACAAAAATTAAAATAAATTAATCCCC